AAGCCCCCATGTCTAGTCCATATACTACATATTTTGTATATATATTATATTTATATAGGATAAGGTATTGGCTCACCTGATTATGGAGGCTGTGAAGTCTCATGATTATCCATCTACAAGCTGGAGACCCAGGAAAACCAGTGGTGTGGTGCAAAGGCCTGAGAGACAGAGGGCCATTGGTGTAGTTTCCAATCTGAGTCTGAAGGCCTGAGAACAAGAGTGACCAGAACAGGGAAGATTAATGTCCCAGCTGAAGCAGTAAGGCAGAAGAAGCCAGATTCCAACTTCTTTGCCTTTTTGGTCTAATCAGGCCCTCAACAGATTGAATGATGCCCACCTGCCCTGGGGAGGGCCATCTGCTTTACTTGGTCCACCAGTTCATATGCTAATCTCTTCTGGAAACATCCTCACAGACACACCCAGAAATAATGTTTCCTCAGATATCTGGACATCCTATTGCCTAGTCAAGTTGACACATAAAATTAACCATCACAGTAAGACTGTAGATATAAATTCAAATACCATAAGCCCTTGGTTTACTCATCTGGAAAAGGGGAATAATAATATAGGGCTGTTGTGAGGATTAAATGATAAATTAATATAAAATGCTTAGAACAGTGACTGACATAAATGCTATGTAGGCATTAGCTATTAGTATTGTTATTATCACTGTCAATACGAAGGGCATGATATATGATTTATACCTTGCCTGGCCTGGATAAGAGTCCCTATAATTGGGCAAGTAAGGGCCAAAAGCTGATGGGACTATTGGAAGAAGACTCCTTGGGGCTCTGCCCACAAGTTGAGCTGCTTCAGCGTTTCGGTGACGTAATAGGACAGGGTTGGAGGGATGTCTCTTTTCATCATCCCTGTACTAGACTGTTCTGGCCCCAGGCACTAGAGTCTTTGGGAACACTCTGAGGTAGCACCTTGGCATGGACCTCATTGTTCTTGTGACTGGTCATGGCAGCAGAGAGGCAGTGAGAGAAGAGAGTGGAAACAGCTGTGACTCTTACCAACATATTTTTATAGGTACGTAGGAGATACTTTTAGAAATTTATAATATACCACTTTGAGGACTCTCAGTAATAAATGGGGAGGATTTTGAGGGAGTAATAAATTTCTGTACTATGATGATCAGGTTATCATGCTGGCAGTTTGTGTTAAATTCTTCACCCTCAAGATTGGCATCTTTAGGATTGTCAAGGAGCACAATCCTTCCTTTTGATCCATATCCCTTTGGGCCAACATTGACATAGACTATTGAGCCAAATGGTCCAGAGACTGGGCCTGCAATCATGGTACTGTATTCTTATATTCCTCTTTGATTAGAAATGAATGACTAATATTAAAATAATCAAAAGAATCAGAGCACTGTTTCAGCAGCTGTTACATTTAAACACTTGTGGCAGAAATTTAAATTGTATGATGTATTTTAGTGAATACTTTTAAAATCAATCAATATATCGTGTCTCTGCTCATCTTAGTGTACAAGACAGGCCATGCAAGTCCCCTGCCAATTATGTTTTACCTGTTTGGGAGGCACTGAGAGCCCATATCACCCTACCTCCTGTGTACCTCCAGTGTGCATCCTGCTGTCCTATCTCTAGCTGGGCCATTAATAGGTACTTTCCCATATGCAGGCTTGCCAGTAGCATGAGGTTGCCTCACATAAGAGTTTTACTCAACAGGGGTGTCCTATCCTGGGTAGTGATGAAATTAAACTCTTTGAGGAATTTGAATGTAAGTCATATAGACAGAGACTGAAGAAAGTAATTTAGCATAGAAATGAGACACGTAGAGGAAGTTAGCAGAAGCCATGAGGAAAGAGGAGGAGGATAGAGGTAAATCAGGCAATCATGATGTATGAAGAAGAGGCAGGTAGACCCAGAAGGAGATAGGAGGTGCTGAGTCAAAAAGCATGGAGTCTACTAGAATTAAGTCACTAGTGTATCCTCGACAGCCATGAATGGCCTTCCAATTTTTGTGCCCTGCAGGAGTGGTTTTATTTACTTTTGTAACTTTCTATGTATCTTGATAATAAGCCTTATCACTTGAAGCCTAAGTGTGCCTCTCTGTTTCTTGAAAGCTGAATGAACCTAACACCTTTCATTCCAGCACCAATTTAGCAAACTGACTATGTGGGTTTAATTCCCACGTGGAACAAGTTGGCTTTGCAAGGGTATGTGATCATCCTCTCCAACACCTAACAAGCTATGAAACACATATCAATTGTTATAAGAAAGATGAGTTTGAGACTCTGTAAGAACTACTGAGGCTGGGCGCAGTGGCTTATGCCTGGAATCCCAGCTCTTTGGGAGGCCAAGGTGGGAGGATCATGAGGTCAAGAGATCGAGACCATCCTGGCTAACATGGTGAAACACCGTCTCTACTAAAAATACAAAAAATTAGCCAGGTGTGGTTGCATGTGCCTGTAGTCTCAGCTACTCAGAAGGCTGAGGCAGAAGAATCGCTTGAACCTGGGAGGCAGAACGCAGTCCAGGGCAGACTTGGATAGAAACATGTGATAACCTGGGAGGCAGAGGTTGCAGTGAGCTGAGATCGCACCACTGCACTCCAGCCTGGGTGACAGGGCAATGCTCCTTCTCAAAAAAAAAAAAAAAAAAATCGATTTACTGAAAACCTGTTATCAATGTTGTAAAACAAATCAAAGCTGAAGACTATTCTTAGTGGACCAATAATATTAACTCTTTAACATGAAAAACTACCCCTTCTCCCACTTTCAGATATAAATTATAAAGTTGAACCATATGTTTAAATTTAATTATTTTTACTATTCACTGGGTAAATCTCCTATAATCTCTTGTCTTTACCCTGTCAGGATGATGTGGAGTTGGGAAGAGTTTGCATTCCCAGAAGAAAGCAAGTGCTGTTACTAGAAGAGGGGGAAGATGTGTGTGACAAACAAAAATGATAGACAGCCTATGCATAACTAGGTACAAAAGGGCTATATCAATACAGTTGATAAAATATTATATTCCAATAAAATCCATACAGAGCATAGAGCAACATGAATAATGGTACTTAGTGAATACCATGAAAAACAATATTTAGTCAGAAGGCAATAGAATTGAGGATATAACATGATTACAACTTTAGAATATGAAAAAATAAAAACCTTTTGCCTTGTGGTGGTGGAATAATGGATTATTATATTAAAATCATTAGTATATTTATAAGAATATTTCACAATGAACAAAATACATTCATTAAAAAAGACACCTTATTCTACTTTTAAGTAGGGAATTCCATTTTTTAAAAAAATATGGGAATCTGCTCTTCAAGTAATTATTTATTGGAAACTTGGAACTGTTTATGAGATCTGTGATTCTTTCCCCTGGCTGTTTACTGGTCTTTCCCCAGGTTGAAGAGCTTGGTGACCATTTGAAGCTCCATTGCTGTTGCTGCAGAAACACTGCCAGTTTGAAATGACTGCTACCACATGCCATCACTCACCACCGTTATCAAAATCTGAGTGGCTTAGGTGGTCTGAAGGGAGGTCCCACCTTTGCCAGAGCTAGAGTCCAAAGACCCTTTCAAGGCACTGTTTGCCACAGTTTTGAACCTGGTTAGATCTTCAGAGCGTAGGGAAGGCCGCTCCTCTCCCCAGTACTGTACTCAGTCCAGGGCAGACTTGGATAGAAACATGTGATAACAACAACAGCAGAATATAACTGCTTGGATTCCAGAGGTGTAGTTCCCCTGGGTCCACTGCGTGAGCTCACACACACACATACACACACACACAAACATCTGTTTTCCCTCTGATGTGTGACTACCATTCATTTTTTCAGAGAAAATAATTGACCATTTTACTTGTTTGTGAGCACAAAGAGGGCAGGCTGGAAGAAATAATTGTGATTGTAATGACATTTGTGGATGTGAAAGATTTGGAGGAGGGGCAGTCCCTGCTGAGCTTTCAACACTGAACATATGTTAATTTATAATTGGGGGTGTGTTTCGGGGGGGTTATATTATGCAATAACTATTGAGGAATGAGCAAATTGGAAAGAAGCAGATTTGGTTTGTGCAAAGATAGTTCCAATTACGGTAATACATGGAACCTGACTATCCTCTATGCCTGATCACCACAGAGCTCAATATTTGCAAATATATTGAAACTTATTTTATTTTATCATACCAGTACATTCTATACCTATTCATCCTACCAACTTGGTGTCTACATAGATTAATATATTCTTCCAGGTCATGTGGTCCCCTGTTCACCCATCATAGTTCATCCAGATACTACTCTTCCTGCCTAAATATCAGTAGGGTGACCAATTGACCCAGTTTATCTGAGACTGAGGGAGTTCCTGGAATGTGTGACCATCAGTGCCAAAACCAGGATAGTCCTGAACAAACCAAGATGAGTTAGTTAGGCTAATCTCAGGTCTGCTGTGAAGGCTTTACCAACTTTATTTCCACCCATTCTAAAATGGCCTTCAATGAGTTCTTTTCATCTTTAAGGTTAATACACACTCATTTTCAGTTTATTTAACATATATTCTCTATTGGGGGATTATTTGCAAGTTTCTTGAGGGTAGGACCCACATATTTTTTAACAGCAGAGTGCTAAGTAAGTATTAGAAAATAAAGTGGATCTAAGAATTTAAAAATAATACTTACATTGTTTTAAACATTATTGGTTGAATTAAGTAAAGCAATGAAGCTTAATGGTTATGAATGTGGATTTTATTTCAGGACAGGCTTGGGTTCAAATTTCCACCTTGTCAGTTACTGATTATGTGACATTGGGCAAGTTAATTAACCCCACTGAGTCTCAATTTCTTAAATCTGTAAAATGGGAATAAAAATAATAACCACTTCCCAGGAATATTGTAGGCATTAAACAAAATAATGGCTAAGTGTGTAGTATTTTGTGTAGCACATAGCACACAACTCGTTATTATGTGGTATTTGTTAATAAATGATTACAAGTCAATTAATTATATTCTTCCATGCATTGTTTCTTCCAGAGAGTTTATGTCATCCCAAGCAAAAGCAGTTATTAAAACTACTGATGATTATTTGCAGCCTCAGTTTGGCCCCGACAGACTTGTGCATTCAGCAGCAGTACCAGAAGGGTCAGGACTTCAAGATTACTCCACACATCAAACAGCATCAGATCACAGCCATGATGAAATATCAGACCTAGATAGCTACAAATCAAACAGTAAAAAGAATTCTTGTTTTATATCAGCATCCAAGAGAAACAGACCTGTCAGTGCTCCAGTGGGTCAACTGAGGTAATCAAAGCTGTTCTCTGTTCTTTTTAACCTACTGTTGAAGTTCTTTCCTTTGAGCAGAATTTATAATGTTTCAATTGACTATCTCAGACATTAAAATGTAACACATCTCTATGGTTTTGTTTTTGTTTTTTTCTTTGAAAGCACTAGAGTAGAATGTTGTTAATTACACTGTGGGAAATATGAGATATACTTCAACCTGGGTTATCAGAAACTCTGAAAAGAATATTTGAAGCAGAATCAGGCTAGGATCATGAAATATCTTTGCTCACATAAACTTATTTAAAAATAAAAATGCTTTCTTTTGATATTTAACCAATAGTTTGAAACAGAATTGAATGACATTATTATAAAACCATTTTGTAAATATGTTTTCACGTCAAGATTTTTATCGTAAACTGTTAACACAAGAGTTCATAGACAGAAGAAAATATTGGTAAAAACTAATACCAATCAAGCCAAGAAACTAATACCCCACTATTTTCAGATATTTGAATATGTGAATATGTTGTGTTTTTAACTTACGTGACATTTTAATTTTAAAATGTTTACTCTTCTTCTGTGGCATTACAAATTAACTTGGTTAGAGAATTATGAAGAAAATTTGACATGTTAGTTTACCACATACTTTTGCTGAGAAAAATCATAAAAATCAAAATTAGTTTTGCCTGAAGATGAAACTTAGAAATCTTCGCTTTCACCACTTCCAGACAATTTGAAATAAGAACAATACAATTAAACTTGGAATCAAAATTTTAAAATCAAAATATTTTTGAATTTTAAATCATTTTTTAAAAAATTAAAGAATTTTGATAAACATGAAACTTGTGTAGAATCTTAGCCATTTGCTGTTTCATGATATTGAGACCATATTACTATTTTTTGCTATCAGAACATATCATATATATATAATTTTTAGTTGCATATGATATATATATTTTTTAAAGGACTGTTGTGTTTTATAAGTAAAGTGATGAAAAATCATTTATTCTGATATATATGTTTTATATGAGCAGTTTTGGCAAACACCGTGTTTAAAATTTTTTTGAATATTTAAATAGTGACAGTGTTACTCTGTAACAACAATCTTATCCTATAAAAAGTTTTGTTAGGTATACTTACATACATAGGAACAATCTTTAGTGCTTATACCTGTTTAAAAAATTCCAGAATAATATTTATTTAAAAATTTTTACTAATTAGCATGCATCTATTTTTCTGTTTTTCTTTTTCTTCAGGGTTGCAGAGTTCTCTTCTTTAAAATTTCAGTCAGCCTGGAATTGGCAGAGATTGTCTCGAAGACACAAACTTCAACCAAGAGTGATTAAAGTAACAGCTTACAAAAATGGATCTAGAACAGTCTTTGCCAAAGTTACTGTACCAACCATCACCTTGGTAACTAGTGTTCCAAAGTTTTCTGAGCTTTATTTTTTTTCCCTTACTCTCTTTATAATATAAAAATTGAGAAAATTATTGTTAATATTTTCTTTTTAAGAATCTGAATCTGCAGATTGCTTGTATATATGTAGATTTCATAGGAATTTCACTCTTTTTTAAAAAAATTCAATATATAAATAGTGTATTTAATTAAACAGATGCAATGGCATTATACCTTGTAGAGTTATTAAAATGACAGATCTTTTAAATATTAAAATTAGTCAATAATTAGATATGCTTCATGCTGTGACTTACCTTTTATTTCTATATTTTCAACTGCTAGAAAATAACTGTATTGGTCAAGTTACTAAACTTGGCAAGTGACTCAGTTGGGTTTCTATTTTGATCATTAGAACCTTTCGTTTTGAGGAAAATATATTACTTTCTTTGTCGTAAATCACTTTGACTTACCTCTTGCTTTCTTCTAGCTGCTGGAACAGTGCACAGAAAAGCTGAATCTGAACATGGCCGCAAGACGAGTGTTCTTGGCAGACGGCAAGGAAGCCCTCAAACCTGAAGATATACCCCATGAAGCCGATGTTTATGTTTCAACGGGAGAGCCCTTTTTAAATCCACTCAAAAAAATTAAAGGTAAAAAAGATTTAAAAAATACCCTACCCCCACACATACTGAATTGCTTAAGGGGTGCAATTAAAAAATGATTTTCATCCTGTCTTTTTTGCATGGTTTAACAAAACTAATGTTTACGCATTTACAGCTCAGTAAGAGGATAATGTGCTTAATGAAAGAAAAATCCACTGACAGCCACGTTTATTGCCCTTCATTAGCATTGGTGCTTAATTTAATATAGATCTGAATAGACATTAGGGAGCCTGCAGGAGGTTAAATGGTGAAAATATAATAAATTAAATCAGAGATTATTGAATTTACAGTTTAGTTTCTGTGACACTCAATAGACATAATTCATTAGACTTATTCTCTCAGAAAATAGTTCAAAGTTTCAAGTATCCTTTATTCATTTACATTCTTGGTGTTTTTTCAGATAGTATCAACATAATTATGAAAATGTGGCCAATAATGAATATACATTTCTTATATACATATGATTCTTCTAATAACACATTTCATAATAAATGTTCCAGCTTGATTATTTTTTACCTTAAAATGTATAATACAATCCTACACATATTTTCAATTAAGGTTTGCCAAAAAGTTCATTTCTTTCAACATTTCAGAAATGTGGAGATTTTCTAAAATTAAAAAAAAAATAGCATTATTTTTTTCTTCAGTGGATAAGAATACATTTTAAGAGAGAAATAAAAGCACTACTATCTAAGAATATTCTTCCAAGCGTGTTGTACCCAGAGTTTGGTATCAAGTGCTATGTATGGTAATCAGATTTAAATAACATGAGGAATAAGGACTTTGCCATAAAAATTCAGTGTGTCTAACTGCTGTACTTTCCTATGCTTTTTATACTTTATTAGAAGTAATTTTTTCCTGCAACTTCTATAAAGCTAGTGAATCAAAGGCAAGTCTAGGCAGTAATTGCATAAGTAGAATAAAAGTAATTCTGGAGTTCATTACAGATGAGGTGATGAAAATCTCCCTTCTGTTAATGTTATTGTATAAAGTCATACTAGCATTTCTCTCTTATATAAACTTTATCTTCAGGAAATAAGCAATTTCTTGAATTCAATAGAAAATTTAAGATAATTTGGTTCTTGTGAAGAAGCTTGTTGCTCTAATGCTCATTGAAAATTACCTATCTGATAGTGTAAACTCATATATTTTTCACATTTTGCTTTAAGTTTAAAATATGGCTGGCTGCCTTAATTTTATATTAGTTGAATCATTTGCTTATATAAAAACATGAGTCTTAGTGGGAAAATACTTTTCTGTGACTTTAAAAAATTCAGATATATTTGTAATGATTGCTTCATTAAGATCCTTGATTATTGTTATTAATAAGAAATGCTTGCCTTTCATATGAATAATGGTATTGTGGAGGAGACATATAAAACTTATTTACAGCTAAGCTAAGAAGAAAATCTCCTGGACATGTATTTCTAAAATAATAATGTCACACACATGACTGAGCTTGGTGGATGATTTTTAAATGTACTAACTAATTTCCTCCTACTTTTTGTTTTCTCTTTTATCCTTTTCAAAAGCCAAGTCCAGAACAAAAAACTTCTCTGCTTTGTCTGCATATCTTTGGCTGTGTTTCACTGTGACATGCACTGCTGTTCTTTTAGCACCAAAATGTTGGCACACATTCCTGAAAATTTCACACCATCTCTTGCTGGATCAGCAAGCTTAACCCACCAAAATCTGGTGTTGTGCAATGGTTTTTGACTGATAATCAATCTTTATGCTGCTCGACAGTTGTTGCTGGGACACGGAGTAGAGCAGGTGGCAGATGTGCCTTGTCTTTTGAGAAAAGAAATTGTAGGTGAGCTTGGACACAGACTAGCATATCTCATGTCCATTAAAAAGAGTTAGGATAAGTATAATGGGGAAAAGCCATTCATCCAAGTTAAGCTTATAGATAAGCTTAAACAATGATGTTTGGTTTCTTTTAGAATGTTAAGAATATAAATGTAAATATATATACATTTATATATGAAAGGTAATATTTAACTTGATGTGAGTGATATGCAATATATCACTCACATATTCACATACACTTCTTCAAACCACCAAAACCAGCTTGAAGATTACCTTTCTGTCATCTGTTTTATAGATAAATCGATAATTTTCCAACCAGCCACAAATGTACCATTAAAATAAAAACTTGTATGAATAACTTTGAAAGTGGTAGATAAACTTAAAGATACATGATCAGAAGTTGGAAAATTGAACATGCTAAAGGTAAATAGGGGAAAACAGTTGGCAGAATTGATTGTTACTGATGCATCTTTCTAAATGAGCATAAATATTTTATATACAATGGGTAACTGGTCATTATTTTAATTTACAGACTTTTATTCATTCAATAAACATTTATTGAGAGTCTATATGTGCTAGATACTAGGCCAGGTCAGAGAAAGATAAAAGCTGTGGCTCATAGTCTGATTTCTTTTTTATCATTATTCTTTCATCTCTGATTTAAATTTTGATTTAATTAAAAAAAACATATTTTTACTGAGTACCTACTATGTGTGCCCCAGCATAGGGATAAAAGTCCTGGCCTTTAAGGAACTTAAACTGAGTAGATAAGTTATAAATCCTTCAAACTGAGAACACTATTTTACAACATAAATCAAATGGATCTTATTTTATTTCTGGCATTGGAAGGCCAAACAAGTCCGTATATATTTTGGCCATTATATTTTCATACTTCATTGGTTTTCGTTATTCATTGGAAAAGCAATGTAGATAGAGGAAGTTGCCTAAGAACGATTTCCAGATTTACTAAGACAGAAAAAATCCGACAGAACATCTCTGATATTTTAACTATTTTACTACGCCTTTTGAGCATCACTGTTGACAACCAGTGGCATTGGATCTAATAGAAAGCCAGAGAGCTATTCATCACATACCTTGAAACACAAAGCTTTCATATGGAGGTCAGGCCAAGGTCAAGACTGACATGAAGCATTCCTTGTTGAAATGCAGTATTAGAATGATTCTTACATTTTAAAGTTGAATATTTAATCAGAAATATTAATTGTATAAGGAAAAGATCAGGAACATAGAAATATTTTATATAAATACTGTTGAAAATGATGCCTTATTAGGTATTATACTTCTGGCATTTGAAGTTTTTACATTTATTAATAATTCATTGAAATTATGAGTATGCAGTTAATGAATTGCTTGAAAAGGCATATTAAGTTTTCTGATTCATGGCCATGTGGTTTAGGTTTTATTCACAGTTTCCTGAATCTTCTGCTTAATTGTGACACAGCACATGGATCTTGGATCAGATCCATGGAGTTTATGAGTTCAGCTCCTTTATAACTGCTGGAAGCTGTATGTAAGTAATGCAAACATAGCATAATAAATGGTTCGTGCCCTGTGCTTGCCTGAATATCTTAAATAAGATGAGGGGAAAACACTGTTTAGACCTAATTCGCTAGGTCCAAGTTCTATTGTATGGAGCTCTGATTGTCTTTAAAAATTTTTGGTTTTATATTTCTACTCTCTCCTATATATCCTATTCTATTACTGGGCTTTCAGAATTATCATTTACAGTGATTCATTTCAGTCCTGAGTTTTGTTAACAAGAAGTGAAACTTGGTATTATGAATAAGATTTTAAACCTTTTATATCCTGTATTGTAAAGATGTAGTCACAGAAAAAAATGCATGAAAGGAATTCTTGATACTACACCTAAGATCTAAATTTAAGCCTAGATATTTTCTACTAACTGCCATGTGATCTACAAAATGAAATAATTTGCTATGACAGCTTGTGATTGACAAGAATATGTGTGAGCACATTTAAAATAGGCCATCTTTTCATGTAGAAGTGTCAGTGAAATGATGGATTCTCATCATTTTAATTATTGATGATTTGGAAATATTTCAATTCCACGACACACAAGACACATTCTAAATAGCAGCATAACACTTTTTCTCATATCTGCGTCCATAATGAAATGTTCTGTCATATTTTGTTTTTCAAAAAATGCATTAGTTTAATGAACCTGGATTCATGCATTATATTCTGTTCCATTTTATGTCTACTGAATTTGTTGATTTTTAAATTGTTATGTTAAAAGCACAAGTTTCAATAGGTGACCCACTACTCACATCACATCATACCTTAATATTTCTGCTGCTAGATCTCAAGACAGAACGCTATAGTGCTGCCTACACCAATGGCTGCTTTAGTCTTGCCAAAGCAGATACCAGCCTTTGTGGTGTTCACCTGCAGGGCATTCAGTCAGCTACAGTAGTTAGGACTGACTTTCCCAAATTCCCTTTTATCTTTTGGTTTGAATAGTGTATTTATTAGGTTAGATTGTTTGTACATTTTAACTTCCACTACTCTATATATATTCAAAAGGAGGAAGATGGCATTATATGGAGAAAAAAATAACCATTTTCTTCTCAGACAGCATATGATCCTTCTATTTCTGTAAGTGAGGATAAAACTATAGGAAAAATATTTTATGTATTTTCTACTCCAAAGTTTTAAATCTGTAAATAAAAGAATAGAATATCCTTACTATATAAAATAGGTGTGGATTTCAAGACAATTATGAGATGGACCAATAAAGTGTTCTTAGCCAGTAGGAAAATCTATAGCCTGCATGTGACTGGCAGCATCTCTTTATATTGTCAAATACCAAATCATTGAAAAACACCTAAATTCTTGACATAACCACAAAATGTTGAATTATATTCATTCACAGGGACTGCATTTGTTTACTATACAGATGCTTGCAAACCTATACTGTTCTGTTAACTTGCATGCCTTTACAAAATTGAAAATGAAGCAGTTACCTCTAAAGCAAATCACTTAGTTGTCTGCCTACGCTGCTTGTTACTTTACCTGATAATTCATTTATATATTCTATAGTTATGCTTTCTGAGCGGTTTGCTATTCAAACTTTTCACTTTTGAAGGCTTTAGATATCTTGTTAGGAGAGTTGTGAGAAATGCATTATTGTTTATTTT